GCCTCCTCCCCTGTGACTATGACTCTTTCATCTATCTGGCTTTAAAGCCCCTAGTCTACCTTCAGACAGACTATTTATGTGGGCTGCTTTATTTATCCTATGTTTTAGTCACCCTGTACCCATTATAGGTGCAGGGTGTGTGTAATGTAATTGTTTATAGTGTGTGTGTGTACTGTGAAATGTATTGCCTTCTCTCCTGTACTGCTGAGGTTTGCTACCAACTAGGTGGGTTTGGCTATGGAGCTGGTCTAGTGCCCTCTGTTGGTAGCAACAGCAATATGCACTACCTGAATTGCAAGACTGGTGCATTTGCATATTCGGGTAGATTTACATATTGCTAATTCTGCAGGCAGCTGAGATATTTACTGTTAAATATTGTCTCCCCCCACCCCTTTAAAAATGTGCCATTGTGTTGTGATAAGTCACTGTGTGTTTCTTGATATGGTTTGACTGTTTGTGATTTTATTGAGGTTTCACAACAATGTTATTGTGGTGACTGTATTGGCTGGTCCCAAGGGAATAAAGGTTTTGACAGTTCTCCTTGATCCCTCTAAACGTAGCCTTGTCTCGTTATTGGAGGGAGCTGTTCTAATCACACTGGGGATTGCTATGCTCTGCATGCTCCCCTGAGCTTGAGTCACTTAGCTCTTTTAAGAGCTTGTTCCTGACACGCTCTCCTTGGAGGAGGGGTCTTCACCATACAGTCCTGGATGCTGGAGGTTCATACAGGGTGGAAGGAAGAGTTCTTTCTCACACAGTCCTGGAGGACATAAGCTGATCCAGGGTGAAAGGAAGACGGCGAGATTCCAGTCAAGATACGGCGGTTGCGGAGTCTGCGGTGGTTGTGGTGTCTGCTGCAGCGCTTGGAGTCCTCAGGAAGCGCTAGGAGCATCCGTCAACGGAGGGTACTCAGTCGGAGTACAAGGAGCTCCGTTACAGCGACCCTTCCACAGGGGCCCATCTTATCGAGAGCTCCCACTTACTTCGAAGACATATGCCTACACCCAGACCCGCTAACCCATGGAGTCTCCCTCATGTATACATCACTCCTGACACAAACACCAACAGCACAACCAAGCTTTATGGGAAAATGGGAGGCAGTGCTGGGTCGCACATTTAATAAGGCAGATTGGGAAAAAATTTGCTACCTCACGCACCATTGCTCTAGCTTCAGTAAGACGCAAGAAACAGCATACAAACTACTGACACACTGGTATTGCACCCCCGCTGCATTACACGCACACATCCCAGACTACCCCCCAGTGTGCTGGAGATGCGGAGAGGAGACGGGCACGCTCCTACACATCTGGTGGGAATGCAACAAAATCGCCCCGTTCTGGAAGGACATACATACAATTATAGGGCAGCTCTCAGATGATCCACCCCCATTCGGCCCAGCAGAAATGCTCCTACACCACACTAAGGTCCCCAGGACCATATATAAGAAATCACTGACAATACGCATACTAAACATAGCTAAAACTATCATCCCACAACATTGGAAACAACAGACCACCCCGCCACTGAGAACCTGGTTCACTCAAATGGAGGAGCTGAGGTCCTTAGAAGAACTCCACGCCACAGCGAATAACTCACACCAAACCTATCTCAACATATGGACGCACTGGCTACTGAAGTCAACAAAACCAGGCTTCCTGGGCGAACCCCAGGCCCAACAATAGAGACAGGACTTAAACTCCAATATGCTGCAGACTCTTGACACAGACGGAACCTAGACTCCCCTTCCCGATGCTCTCCCACCACGACCTACCCATCCCAACCACCTTAACACACGAGCCACGATACCCTTGAGGTGGCAGGGACCACCTAGAACCACACGGATAAGGGCGACCTGGAGGCCACACATAGAGGATATCCGCCACGTAGGCAGATGGTCAACGACCGCAGTAGAGTAGGGGAGACGACGGACAATTATCACGGAACACATGGGGACGGGGAGGTGTTTTGTTACTAACTAGCTGTCCATGCTAGGAGGCTGATAAAATGTGTTCATCATAAGTTGTTTGTTCTTAAACTGCTTGTTTCATACAATGTATAAATCTCCATAGCAAGGGGGACCTGCGAGTCCACATTGTTTGTGAGGCCTGCGAGCCCGCACTGTTATACAACCTCACAATGTTGCTGATCTACTCTTTGCACTTACCAAGTACGGACCTGCGAGTCCAAACGAAGTATGACTGCCTTGATACGAAAATGAAAATAAAAAAATCATATTTACAAAAAAAAAAAAAATCATTTGAAGAAGCAGTAATGTAATTTGAAGAAGCAACATAGTTTTATGAAGGGCAGAGAAGCAGTAAAAAAAAAAATCTATATGTAAATATTATATATTTATTAAATATAAAAATATAGAATTTTACTGCACCTTCTTTTTTCCCCCTATTTTATTTGCTTATTGCTTGATCTATGATTTGAATCAACATTTAGGGGCAGTACCATAACCATCAATCATAGTTTTATTTTTATTTTTTTTGCTACAACAGATGGAACTCTGAATCAACCACATAGTGTTTCCAAGCTTGGAATTTCCTAGGAATCATTAATTTCCTAAAATTCAGACAAATCACAGTTGGTTTGAAACCAAATGCACAAGTCTAACTTGTGAAAGATTTGTTACTGGGAGTAGGAGTATGTCATTGTTGGTGGGGTTGTGACAGGGTTATGTTTATATGTCTGTTTGTGGGTCACGTACAAATCATAAACCCATAATCTTCATATACAGCCACTTTCCCATACCATATACCCATCAACAGTCATAAATACCTTAAAACAGAGGGGGGAAGAGTCTGCGCTAACTAAAAGAGCAGCAGCCCTAAGAAAGGGGATCCCTCAAAAACCCTTTGAGAAACAGGAAAATACAAGAGGGGGTTAAGGGCTGCGCTTAGAATCAAACAATAAATAAAAATGAATATAAAATCAACAAGTAATAATGGATAAAATCAGGTTGTGATATAAATAAAATAGACAAAGTTCATCCGAATATAAAAATTGGAACAGTCTCACTGATATGTGATGGTATGGTTTTAATCCTCAGGTATTGGTCCGTCCGTATGGCAGATAGTCCATATATGTGGAGATAAAAAGACAGAAGAAAGGCTGCCAATGGTAAAATATTATACGTCCAGATGTGGTATATAAATCAAGAGAAATATATTTCACTCACATTTGTTGGAGCTTGAACCAAACTGTCATAAAAAATTATGCAGGTCAAAATCTGCATTAAGTCCATTTGGTGTTAGGGTCTGTAACTTGTAGACCCATTCCATTTCAGTTTTACCTAAAATATTTTTTATGTCTCCTCCTCTCCAGGGTAGGGAACATTTTTTTTATACCCATATATTTTAGCATTTTAGGATCCTTATTATGAGTTAAAAAATGTTTTGATAAGGAATGGTTTAAATATCCATTTTTTATGTTCCTTCAATGCTCACATAGTCTAGTTTTTAGACATCTAGTAGTCATCCCAACGTATTGGAAGCCACACGGGCATTCCAATAAGTAGATGACATTTTTAGTGTTACATGTTATAAATTCTTTTATTTTAAAAGTGGTTTTGGTTTTATTCGAAATGAATTCTATTTTTGGTGGCATTGTAGGATCAGCAGTTTTGCACACAATACAATTTTTACATTTGTAAAAGCCTATAGATTGGGGGAAAAAAGATACAGGGTTACTTGGTTTAGTTTCTTTGGTAAAATTGGTAGTTAAAATAGATTTAAAATTAGGGGCCCCTCTAAAAATTATACTTGGCTTTTCTGGAATAATCTTGATAAGTTTTTCATCGTGTTCTAAAATATGCCAGTGCTTTTTGATAATCTTTGTTATTTCTTTGCTTTTATTGTTATAGTTAAAAGTGATAGAAAGAAATATAGAGTCGTTTTTGCTTTTGGGTTTGTATTTTAAAAGATCATCTCTGTTTTTATTTTTTATCTCATTAATACTTTCCAATAAATCTTTTTTTGGGTAATTCTTCTCCATGAATTTATTTTTGAGGGCATTAGCTTGTTCATCAAAATTTTCTAGTTCTTCGCAATTTCTGCGTAATCTAAGGAATTGACTTTTTGGAGCGCTGTCAAGCCACGGTTTATAGTGGCAACTGTTCTTATCGATTACTGTATTGACACAGACTTTTAAAAAAAATTTTTTTGTATTAATTTTACCATTTTTAATAAATATATTGAGATCTAGGAAATTTATTTGTTCTCTGCTAAATTCATGGGTTAAAATTATACCTCTGTTGTTAGTATTAAGAACATTAATAAAAGAAATAAGACTGTCTTCAGATCCACTCCAAATAAAAAAAAGATCGTCAATATATCTAAAATATGAGACCAGGTTTGCCCTTAGGTTGTCTCCATTGTAGATAGCTGTAGATTCTCAATCTGCCATGAACAGATTGGCATAACTAGCGGCAAACCTGGTACCCATAGCAGTTCCTCTTTTTTGAAGGTAAAAGTAGTCTAAAAACCAAAAATAATTGTTTTTTAAAATAATGTAAATACCCTCTAGGATAAAATCAATCTGTTCTTCCGAGATTCTATCTTCCTTTTTTAAAATATTTTTAATGGCTTCACATCCAATTTTGTGGGGTATAATTGTATAAAGTGATTGGACGTCGCAAGTAACTAAGATAAATTTGGGGTCCTATTTAAAATCATTTAAAAAGTTTAAGAGAGACATAGAGTCTTGAAGGTATGACTTCATTTTTTTAATGGCAGGTTGTAAAAGAGTGTCTATGTATTGGGATATGTTGCATAAAAGTGAACCTATCCCTGACACTATTGGTCTGCCAGGGGGGTTAGTAGCATTCTTGTGTATTTTTGGTAGGAAATATATTACCGGAATTTTGGGAAATTTTTTATTTAGAAAATTGAACTCTTGTTTGGTTAGGATAGCTTGGGATACACCTTTGTTTAAAAAAATTTAAAAAAGGTTTTGGATGGTCTTTGTTGGGTCTGATGAGAGTTTTTTTTTTTTTTTTTTTTTTGAAAAGTGGTTTATTGACATTATACAAAATAAAATAGACCTTATATCAAACATATTTTATATACAACAGGGGCTTAACTCGAGTCCTCAAGAGATCTTAGACTGACCAAAACAGCTATAGTAAATCTTTGCTCAAATCACGCTGTTTGACCTGGTACCCACCGAAAATCCCTATTTGTCAGGAACCACTGAGGACAGAAGCTGGGTAACCCAAAACGTACAATAATAAATTAACACAATATATTTTTCTCGTGTTATCTACAAATGCAAATGCTACAATAATTTAGCAATAAATACTGGTTCACGCGCTTTTGAGATATAACCTGTCTCAGTCACTAACTATTATTCTGAAGTCTTTCAATGAGTTTGGCAGTGCAGATCATTGCAAACAAAAGACTTGTCCAGATCACATTTGTTAAAGAAAGAAATAAGGGCGTATCAATATGTCAAGGATGAATTTAACAAGACGGGGTACATTTTATGATATTTGAATCAAGCTAGATTGAAATATGGAATCAAAATAAAATGTTAAAAATTGTATGCTCTATCATTTTAACCATTGGCCTGTCACTGTGAAATGGAGTAAACAGATTCTGCATGTATTTGGCACATGGGAGAGTTTTTCATAGACGTCAGTATCATTTAATTGTCTGTGCGCTTCTTCTATATACATGGCACTGGATAAAATGACTAGACCACCTCCTTTATCGGCAGGTTTTATCACAATGTCATTGTCATCTTGTAACTCTTTGAGTGCTTTCCTTTCATTGTTTGTTAAATTTTGTGTATCATATTTGTTAGTCTGTAATTTGTTTAGATCATGTGTAACTACTTTCTCAAATACGGTTAAAGGGGCAGTTTTCATAAAAGCTGGATAAAATCTAGATTTGTCTTTAAAATTCGTGTTAATAATATGATTTTTGGGGGGAAGGGAAGGGGGTGAAATTATACTATTATCAGTTGGATTGTTTAGGGTAAAATTTTCTTCAGTTTTTTCATTAAAATATCGTTTTAGAGTTGCTTTATGGACAAACTTATTAATGTCAATAAAAGCCTCGAAAGGTTTAAAAGGATTGGTTGGAGCAAACTTAAGGCCTTTACTTAAAACCGACAATTGTGCTATGGTGAGAGTTTTTGGGAGAGATTAAAGATCCCACTATTTTGATTTTGGGGGGGGCTTATTGTCTTTCTAGTTTTTCTCTCTTGTTCTCGTCTGCCACTTCTTCTTCCTCTAAACTTAAGGTTCTTTTTTGTGATTGTGATGTCGAGTCATACCTACCTGCCTACCCCATCACATATTAGCCTACCCACACATTTGTGTAACATAGCCACCCTCTGTTACAAGCCCACTACCAAATGTTACAGTACAAATACTGAAGGCTCACCCTCCTGGTGAGCTACAGCTTCAGTATTCTGGAGTCATTGCTGATCTCTGCTGAGGGTCTTCCTTATACCAGGAATCTGTGTTTCATTTAAGTGATTAGATGGTAAGTCAAGAAGCCTGCAGAATCCTGCACACATCACTCATCTGAGGTCATGCAGCTGGGTTTGTGCCATGGTGGCCAGTCGCTGGTGGGATTAATTGCCAGGGGATATTATATCTTGAGTAGATTGCTTCCCACCCAGCACACAGCCTCTTCACTGCACACCACATGAAATGTGGCAGCAGTTGCTAACCTCTGTTAACTCTACATGCCTGTGGCCAGTCTCTTCCAGGTGAGAATGTTTCCCTTACTAGGCCCATCCAGGCGCACCGCATCGGCCCATCCGGCTGAACACACCTCATCTACTGAATCTCCCAAAGACTCAGCCCCCACCACCAAAGGGGACCTGAAAGTACTTCTGGTCAATAAACAGAAGTTGTTAGCAGCTGATGTTGCGCTTGTTAAAATGGATATACAACATGTTTCTGACCCCGTCAAAACCACGGAGGACAACATTACTGATGTCCACAATCGTGTATCCACCCTCAAGGACTCAGTCTAACAACTACAGAGCATCAAGTGTTGGCTGCCCAAACAATGTCCCTCGAAGACAAACAGCCGGAAATCGTCCAGAAAATTGGGACCCTAATGACAGTACCCCTCTTGGCCCAATGACAACGAGTCCACAGACTCTACATACCTGAAACCAATCAGGAACTGCGACAACCACATATGTTGCCCTCAATGTATATCTCACTAACAAATTTTCAAATCAGTTCCATTTTATGTAGTTTATGTTTTTTGTTTTCTTTTTTTTTGTATGCTTTTGTTTATAACTACCGCCAAATTTATGATAAGATTATGGAGAGGCTTGCATGTCGAGCTGCTCTGCCTTTAGATGCCGGGGCTGAATTTTTGTCAGAGTCCAGCCCTGTCACGAGTATACGTAACATCCCACACCTGGAATACCCCAGGGCACAGCATGCCCCTCTATTTAAGCTTGATAGTTCTATGTTAATCCCGGGTCTATAACCACACCTGTTTGTAACAAGAAAAAAGTGCTTAATACCCTTATGTAAATGTTTCTTTTTGCTGATAACCACAAAGTTAAAGTTAATGGAACTGAGTTTTTTTAAACCTTTGTAAAACTTTGAGATACCTGTACAACACCCTTCCCACATTTTGTTCTCTAGCAAACTCCACACTGCACATGATAGGAGAACTACTTCTGAATCAATAACCAGCTTCTTCAAACAAATGTTAAGTGTATCAAAGAAATAAAATAAGTGCTAGATGGCAACCTGTAAATGGTTTTACCTGTATTCTGCAATTTTGTGTTGCTCCAAATATAAACGCTGCTATGCTGATGACTCTAGATATATCAAAGTCAAATAATCCTCCCCTGGCAGCTGCACGATCTTTACTGGGAAAAATGATTTCAGGTTTTGGAACAGTATTACATTTAAATAATTAGGAGGCTAATGTACACAAACTCCTGTCTGCTTTACGTTAACACTGTAAAATTACAAAAATGCATGATTATTATTTGCTAATGTTTTTTTTTTTTGCTTCCAAATATTATATTTATTGCTGAATAATTTATTGACTTGATTCCCATGTTATATAGATATGTTATATTGCTTATGAAATATCCAGCAACATGCACTATTTTGTCTTTATTTTCTGATTTAGAGTGTGTCAAGGGGACGCCTGCATTTTTTAACCTTACAAATCACTTATAGATCCAGTTTCAGTTTGTCCCCTCTGCCCTAGCTTCAGTCTAAACATGAAGCAGCAGTCCGGTAAAATACAGTTACATTGAGGTGCATTGCTAGGATGGCTGACCCTGGCTGGACCTCAGAGTGACTTCCTGACAAACCCCAGGTGTAAAAGTGCTACAGTTCATTTACTAGCCCAGAGTCTTGATTACATGGCCGAATGAGAAGGGAAAAATGTTTTAGATTCATTACTGAAGTTCACGCACTTTGAAATGGGGTTCCAGAACGCCAATGATGACAGGTATCAATCTGCAGCAGCAAGGGAGCTTGCTACTCTCGGCACATTGAGCACTGACATCTCCTATGTCGCGTAGAACTCACAAAGCATCAAATGACAGAAGTATGTGTAGCAATGTGTGCCCATGTATGTGTAACAGCACTTGAGTATCTATAACAGTGCATGCGTGAGTGAGAGTGTGAGAAAACCCAAACAAAACTTGGGGCAGAGGTATGAGGTACAGGGCAGATAAATTGGACGAGATACAAGAAAGGGCCTTTATCAAGCTTTTATGTGTTTATACTTGCCTATGAAGTTTTGTTATTTCTTGACTGGAGGCACGGTTGGAATTGTTTTACCTGCCTCTATCCTGTATAAATATATATTTTTTTTTTCAGTGATAGTGAGTGCATCAGTGTGTGCCATTTGGTACTTTACTTATGGAAAGCAAAAGCAGTTAGCTAAAATAATATATCATTATAATTAAATTACAATAATGTTATACAGTCGTGAAACATTTACTTTGTTTTGTTGCACATCTGCACAAAATAAAACAGTTCTTTGTTTTAATTGAAGAGTTTAAAGTGCACTCCTTCATATTATAATGTTTTGTTTAAAGGGACACTATAGTCACCAACACAACTTATCTTAATGTATTTGTTCTGGTGAGTATAATCATTCCCTGCAGGCATTTTCATGTAAATACCGCCTTTTCAGAGAAAATTCAGTGTTTACCTTGCCCTCTAGGGATACCTCCTGGCCACTGGAGATGCTTCTTGGGGCAGTGCTGCACAGTAGGCAGCACTGCCATTCAGCGTCTCCACGATCTGCATGGAGATGCTGAACTTTCCTCATAGAGATGCATTGATCCAATGCATCTCTATGAGGAAGTTCTGATTATTTAAAATGGCTTTGGACCCCATCCCTCATCCTTGCCGACTTCAGCCAATCCATTGCATTTTCTATAGGGAAGCATTGGATTGGTTAAGTATTGTAAAATCGGATGATGTCACCAAGGAGGTGGTTTGAGGGCGGGGCCAGCGCTGGCAGACCCATGCAGAGCTGTAAATGAGGTATGTTTTAACCCTTTCTAAGGGGACTAAGGGAGGGCAAGACACCTAAATGGTGGTATTCACACTATAGGGTCGGAATACATGTTTGTGTTCCTGACCGTATAGTGTTCCTATAATTTTCTTTTTAACTTATGTACAGTAATGGGAAAATGAAAGTACATGGTCTTGCTTTTGATGACATAATAATCATCTGTTCCTTAGCTGGTCCTTAAATTAGATCAATGCAACTTCAGATGGACAATAACACATGACATATTGCATCCTGTCATGATTTATTTAACAAAAATAAAGCCAAAATAGAGAAGACATGTGAAAAAAACAAGTACACCTTATGATTCAATAGTATGTAGAACCACCTTTAGCAGCAATAACGTAAAGTAATTGTTTTCTGTATGACATAATTAGTCTCTCACATTGTTGTGGATGAACTTTACCCCAATCTTCTATAAAATGTTGTTTCAGTTCATTGCGGTTTGCTGACATTTGTTTATGCACAACTCTCTTAATGTCCTGCCACAGCATTTCAATCGAGTTGAGGGCTTGACCTTGACCGAATTATTGCAACATCTTGATACTCAGTCATTCTATTGTAGATTAGCTGATGTGTCTGGGATCATTGTCCTGTTGCATGACCCAATTTCGGCCAAGCTTCAGCTCTTGGACAGATGGCCTCACAATTGAATACTTTGGTATAGAGAGGAGTTCATGGTCGACTCAACGACTGCAAGGTTTCCAGGTGCAGTGGCTGCAAAACAAGCTCAAATTACCACCCCTCCACCACTGTGCTTTAACCCCTTAAGGACACATGACATGTGTGACATGTCATGATTCCCTTTTATTCCAGACGTTTGGTCCTTAAGGGGTTAAAGTTGGTAGGAGGCGTTTGTGCTCATATGCTGTGTTTGGTTTTTGAAAAATGTGGTGTTGTGCATTATGGCTAAATATATCCACTGTGGTCTTGTCTGTACAAAGGACGTTGTTCCAGAAGTCTTGTGTTTTTTTCAACTTTGCAAACCTAAGCTTTGCTGTCATGTTCTTTTTAGAGAGAAGAGGCTTTCTCCTGGCAACCCTTCCAAACAAACCATACTTGTTTTAATCTTTTTTTGTACTGTCATAAACTTTTA